AGTGGTACTGGGTCAACGACCTCGGCGGTGGCAGCTGTCGGCTGCGGCTCAACCGGTTTTTGGCCTGCGCGCTCTGTTGTTATCGGCGATAATGTCGCGGTGCGTAAGGTAGGCGTTGCGGAGGGGTGGTGGTTGTTATATAACTACTTCCCAATCCGTATCACGGTTATGCACGGTTGCGCGGGATTCCCAGTTACGTTCTAGAAATAATTGTTACGCAATGTTCTCTATGGGGCCCTAGCTAACCGGCAAACACACTCCTGGTCGAATAACTTATTACTAATTTAATATAAGCAATTAATCCGAGGTATGTGTCAGCGTGAAAACTCTTACCTTTTCGCTGAACTGAGGAGATTCCTCTGCGGGGAGCCAATTTGACGCGGGCTACGGCGGTGATGTGTGTCGCGGTAGTCCGTCTCGGGTGGTTTTTTTGAAGTTGGATATATATGTCGGGTATTCACAACGTAAGATTATTAAATAATACACGCGTCTTTGAGTGGACGGTAATGTCAATTGGTGACGTTTATTTGAAAAAAACAAAACAGTATCACGAAAACACAAATTAAATACCATGATCAAGAACTGAGATGGTGTGTCGTTTTCACGTGCGTCGCGTTATACCGTTGGCGAGAGTCATCGCCGGCGGCCAGTACTCGTTTTGCGCGACTTACCTTCCCGTCCCGCCTTGTGCCTTTTAGGCGCGGTGGGAGAGTTAGCGTTGTCGCGCTCGTAGCCCGTGGTGGTGGTTGTCAAAAGCGCAGACCGGTCGCTGCGGTACCTGTACTTTGTACTGGTTGCCGCTGCGTACCGTGTCAGCATTTACCGCCGGGATGACGGCAAATCGGCTACGCGCCACTTCGAAAAATCGTATAAAATCGGACTTTGTACTTAGAGCTATGAAAATGGTATGAGTGCATTCCTCTATACGTATACTATCATGCTGTAGTGGTTTTGAAAACAACAAGTCGAAATAACGGCTGTCCGACAGGCTAAAATAGGATTTTTGGTGATTTTACAAAAAAATGTATTGGCCTTTCATAATATATAGCCATGACAAATTTGTTTATTGATGAACCGCTCACATTCATTATTATGTAGTATTACTGAACAAAATAATTTTTTTTTATTTTATAACATCTATTTTTACTTATTACACAAATACACAAAATGAATAGATCTAATAATGGTCATTTTAAACACTTAGTTGCAATTGTTGTGCGAGAAATTGTTTCCAAAACCACAGACAAGCTCGTTCACGAGGTAACAGCTGAAGACTTACTATTATGCAAATTATTTGCGTGAGTACAGTAGAGGTCTATCTTTTGCGGTTCGAGAAGTTTTCTACATATTATTTAGAAATCCACCGAAAAATCAATCCGTATGTGATTTTGTTGGTTCGTGGATCAGAAAACCAGAACCTATTATCAATGTAAGCATTTTACAATGCAGAAGCTTAAAAAAACTTTATCTATAATATCCTGTTTTTCTAAAGCTAATTTTTAGTAATGATGGGTACCAATCAAGTCTCATAAAAGTTTCGGCTTCCACAAATGTGATTTTGACGCCTACAATGTTAAACGAGACAAATGGTACCACTCCATAGATGAGTATACATTTACACCGTCCACTCAAACACTCACTGATATTGAAAACATTTTTGAAATGTATAACTATCCTACTTTCCCGACCTTAAATGAAAAACAACAAGTGTTGCCTTACAAAAGACCAGTATGTGAGAATTATGTGGAACTTTCACCCCCACGCAGAAACCGCAGAAAAATTGAAGTAGATGAACAAGAAAATAATATCGGATACGCACAGCCTGGCCATTTATGCAATGAGGTGAATTCTATAGTAAAACTTTTAGATTCTGAGCGGAGCGATTAATGTATTGGTTTAACAATAATGTATGGTTTTTTATGAATGTGAATATAATTTTATGTGGTAAGCCTAAAAGTCTGTACATTTAAGAAAAAGCTCCTGATAAATTGATAGAATAAGAGTTGAAAAATATTAAAAATAAAAAGGCAATATTTTTTATTCATAGGTCCCATTAACAACCACCACGGATGAACAATTGCCTGCCCATCAGCACTGTTCACAAACTGAAATAATTGAACATCATCCAGAATGCATTCAGCCTGAAGAACGAGGCGCTACTCAATTATTTGTTGTACGTGAGGCGGTTAATTTAATATCAAAAGGAGAGCCATATCTCGCAGGATACATATCAAAAATCGAAGACCAAGATATTTTTATAAAATTTCCATACGGAAGATGTGATGGTTATGAATACAAATACGACATTGCAAACATTTTACCATTCCAAACACAATTTTAAAACAAAACTTTCAAACCAATTAAATTACTAGGAAGTAGATCGGTACCATACCAACGCAATAAAATCAAAATACACGAAGAAAGACTGCAACGTTATTTAAATAAATAATTATTTCCGTGATATTGTGGTTGTATTTGGGGGGATGTAAGCTATCTGGGCATTAATTATTGGACTTAGGGACTTGAAAATGGTATGAGTGTATTCGTATATACGTCTACTATCATGTCGTAGTGTTTTTGAGAACAACCAGTCCAAATAACGGCCGTCCGGCAGGTAAGTATAGGATCTACCGGTGGGTTGCAACCAAAAAAATCATTTTTTCAGTTAAATATCCTGGAAACCGTAATTCTAAATTCTTATTGTTGAAACTTGTACACCTAATAGCCAACGACTATACCTATCTAACGATGTGCTTTTCATAACCCTAGTACAAGAATTGGATTTATGCTTTGATCTATCAAAGCAGACGTACGACAAATAGAAATGTGCTCAATACGGGGGTATTCTAATTATTTCATGATAACCGTGTATAATCGTTGTTGTTAGTTTGAAAATCGTTATAAATCACGGTTTTCGACTTAGTAGCCCTAGCTGCTCTCCAACTTATAAGGTCACTAATCTTAGCTCTACAGACAAGTCTTGTTCGTGGAATGTTAGAAAAAGTAACGCATGTGATGAAGTAAAAACTATCAGTCAGATTTATGGTGGTTTTGTTAGCCCTTCTACTATTATTTCAGATGAAGATTTTGCTACTTTCAAACATACTTTGGATAATTTATCTACCCCAGTTGGTTTTTCTTGGTTATTAAGACCTGAACCAGAACATATAGAATCAAATGAATCTTTAAAATTTCAATTAAGTTCTATAAAAAGTGTAGTAAATAAAGATGTTTGTAAGCAATTAGTAAAGGCAGGACATTTTGAAGCAGTAAGAAGTTATATAAATGATAGCTGTTTTATTACTGATGATATTGTTTTAAGAATTTCTTAAATAACTACCGGTCAAAATAAAACTGAATTGTGGCATTATTACCGTAAAAATAGATTAACTGCAAGTCATTTTGGTCATATATTATCTGCTTGCCAAAAAAATAAATTTTCAAAATCTTTTTTTAAATCCCTAAATAATGATACTAATTTAATTGGGGTACATGCTATTCAGTGGGGTTTAACAATTTAAAAATCAGGCATTAGAATTTAGAGTTTTAGAAAAAGAACAAAATGTAAATGTTGTACCAACTGGGTTATAGTTAACAAAAAGCACTTTTATTGGCATCAGATTCAAGGACAACTATATTTAACTAACCGCAAGTTGTGTTACCTTGTCATTTGGACACCTAATCAAACAATCAATACTGAAGTTGAAAAGGATCCAGACTGGTTTATTAATCTTAAAGTATTAGAACAATTTTTTATTAAGAAGTTCATAACTTTTCTTATTGAAAATTAAATATCCATATCATTAGTATATACACTTATAGATTATTTATAATATTACAGCATTAAACACAAAAATTGTTCTGCCTCGGCACCACCTTGTCACCGGATATTATTCGGTTATTTTTATTATTTAAAATAAATTTTTGTTCGTTTCGAGATAACGTTGTCCATATATAACAGGAAGAATATACACGGACGCTGTGTTACGTTGAGGCCGTTAACACTGCTGACGTCGACGCGTCGTCGACAAATCGTATTTGTTCTATGCGGCGGGCGTCGACGCATCGTCGACAACCTGTTTATTACTTTCTGACTTCTCCCAATAATACTAGCATACAACAAGCCATTCGTGCTTAAGCCTCCGCACAGATAAGAGGTTGAAATTGTTTAATTCGCGGTGGTTTGAAATTCCAGCTATTTTTATATTATTGATGGTCGTTTTTCGTAACAAAGGTAAGATAACCATATTTCTTGTAATAAATATTATTATACTTACTATTATATTATTAAACTATTATTATTTTTACATTATTATTCCATTATTATAAATTACTTAAAATCGGCTCCACGTGGAGCCACACTGATAATTTTCTTTACATAATATTATGTTTATAATTGTATGTCGTTTTTCATAGGCAGTGTCGAACTCTTATCGTTACTATTTATTATTATTTCTTTGAATTCTATACAAATGTTGTAGATTCGGCCTGCTGTATATTTGTTGTTATTTTTTGTATTTCATATAATTACTGGACATTATACAGAGTGTGCAAAATAATTTTATCAAATGTAAGAAAATATATTTTTATTTTTTACTGACTTTTTTTTCTCTGCACAAGACGTATTATACCTCCGGTATATTTGTTGTTTTTTATTTTATTTCGTATAAGTACTCGACATTATACTGAGTGTGCTTAGTAATTTTATCAAATGTAAGAAAATATATTTTTATTTTTTACTGACTTTTTTTTCTGCACAAGACGTATTATACCTCCGGTATATTTGTTGTTTTTTTATTTTATTTCGTATAAGTACTCAACATTATACAGAGTGTGCTTAGTAATTTTATCAAATATAAAAGTATTTTATTTATAATACCTAAATTAGATATATATTTTTTTTTCATTAGAAACGATGATTTTGTAATTTTATTTTCCCTAAAATGAGTAAAAAATCAGCAAAAAGACGTTTGTCATATGACGATAGTGAATCGTAAAAAATGTATGACATTACACCAGGTCCATCAAAATCTACCACATCACATTATGCTTTGAATGACGAAGAACTGTTGGCGCTTCTACAGGATTCAGACTTTGAAAATGAAAATTTTGGTTTCGACAGTGAAGATGATGACGATGAATATATCGTTGAAGAAGACACCGAATTAAATCTTCAATCCCCAAACCAATCTACACAAAATATTTCTACTTCTTCCTCGTCACATGACCTACAGGGTCACCATCCAGAGTAATTCAGCTCCAAAATCAGCAAGTATGGACTCTGACTCCTAAACAAGCACCATTAATTCCTTTTGTTGGCTTTACGGGTATGCTTCAGGTTCCAACCTCAGATGAACCTATAGATTATTTTGTTCACTTATTTACGGACGATATTTTTAATATGATAGTTACGGAAACAAATCGGCAAGGTAAAATTGTATGCAGTCAAAGTACAAAATCAAAATCACGTTTAAAAAACTGGAAAAATATAACGAGAGACGACATGGAAGTTTTTTTCGCTTGATATTTCTAACCGGATATATACCTGATCCGACCACCTCCCATTATTGGAAAACAAATGATTTGTACAATTTTAATGTTTTTAGAAATGCTATGAGTAGAGATAGATTTTTATAAATATTGCGATGTTTACACTTCGCCGAAAACCCGCCTACTGGAGGCCCGAAACCTGACGACCCCCTATATAAAATTACACCATTGTTCGACCTATTTCATAATAGAATGAAAGAAGTATACTATCCTACTAAAGAGTTGAGTCTAGATGAATCAATGCTTCTTTGGCGTGGACGTCTCTATTTCCGACAATACATTCAGAATAAAAAACACAAATTCGGCATAAAATTTTATGTGCTCACTCAACCGGATGGCCTTGTCTTAAAGACAAGGATTTATTGTGGATCAAGTGATCCAATTGTGGGTGGTAAGGGCCATGTCGATAAAGTCGTAAAATACTTGCTTGACGACTATTATGGAGTGGGACATTCGGTGTATATGGATAACTTTTATAACTCCATTGAACTTACCGAATATTTACTAGATAAAAATATATATGTAACAGGGACTCTTCGAGGAAATAGGAAGGGCAACCCGTCAGATGTGGTCAGTAAAAAGCTGAAAAAAGGAGAGTTGACATCGGCATTTAACAGTAAGGGGATGATCTATGTTATGAAATGGCACGATAAAAAAGATGTGATTATGATATCGTCAGAGTTTGGGGATGCTATGAATGAATACAGGGCAAGAAGTGGCAAGGTATCGGAAAAGCCGGAATCAGTACAAAAGTATAATGAATTTATGGGTGGTGTGGACCGTAGTGACCAACTCATGAGTTACTATCCTTGTGAAAGAAAAATACTAAGGTGGTATGCTAAAATCGGGTTACATATGTTTCATGTTATTATGAATAATGTATAATATATTATACAAGCAACAGCCTGGAAAACGCAACACCAGATTGTCAGACTTTAGAGATGCTGTGATCAACAAACTAATATATAACCATCGGCCAAAAATCTTACTCCAACACAAAAAACAAGTAAACAGTGACTACATGTCATCTCTTCAGTTCCGAGAAATACAAAAAATAGGCCGATTAGAAAAAGATGTGTAATTTGTACATAAATTGCCTAAGTCAAAACCCTGATTTTATACGATTTTTTGAACTGGGCCATATCCGGCTTGTCGCCAGAATGCAATGCATCCTGGAGGTAAATTTTCAAACTTACCTCCCGGGCGCCCGTTCTTGGGACTTGGGAATCGGAATCCCATACTTATCAGCCGCACGGCCGTCTTAGAGACTTAGGATTTTTTTCAATGCAATGATCTGATAGCTTAGGTCCCCCCCCCCCAATGCAACCATACCATTTTCAGAGCTCTAAGTCCAAAACGCCGGGTGAGTCTGTATGATGTGCCGGGTGAGTCTGTATACTTAACCGAGTGAGTGGACACAATCCTGAACTTACCTGCCGGACGGCCGATATTTGGACTTGTTGTTTTCGAAAACACTAAGGGATGATAGAAGAGGTAACGAGGAATGCATTCATACCATTTTCATGACTTTAAGTCAAAACCCCGATTTTATACGATTTTTTGAACTGGGCCATATCCGGCTTGTCGCCAGAATGCAATGCATCCTGGAGGTACATTTTCAAACTTACCTCCCGGGCGCCCGTTCTTTGGACTTGTACTGTTAAAAAAAACACTATGGGACGATAGTAGAAGTGCATAGGAATGCATTCTACCCCTTTCAAATCTCTGAATTCAAAACTTGATTTATTACGGTTTTTTGAATATAACTACCGATGAAACATGGAAAAACTGATATTTTGAGAATGTCTGGGGGGTATGAGCAGATTTCGTTTTCTTACATGTCGGGTTTGAAAATTCACCAAAAATCCAATTCTTGTACTATAGTTATGAAAAGCACATCGTTAGATAGGTATAATCGGTGGCTACTCGGTGTACAAGTTCCAAAAATTAGAAATAAATTACGGTGTCCAGGACTTATAACTGAAAAAATGAAATTTTCGATCTGCAATTCCGCGGTAGATCCTATACTTACCTGCCGGACGGCCGATATTTGGACTTATTGTTCTCAAAAACACTAAGGGATACTACGTACATTTACAGAAAATGCTTTTATTAAATAAATGTTCAAATAAGCCATATAACATGTATTTTATTAAAATACTCAAATTTATAAAATATAAAGTTAAGATCTTGTTAAAATTATATTTAATACTTATAAATAATAATTATTCCTCTCGTTGAAGAGGAAGAGCACACGATTCAAGGATTTGGAACGAAAGTCTTATCAAGTAACAATTTGAAAAGGGATCAATAAATGGTATCTTCCTTGGTGATAGTGGTTATGCTTGTACTCCATATAAATATCTTAACACCAATTCTTAATCCTCAAAACTATGTGGAGCGACAATACAATTACACACACATCAGAGCAAAAAACAAAATAGAGAGATTATTTGGACAATTCAAGCATCGTTTTCGCTGTCTATTGCGAGGAATGACCATAAGTCTCGAGAACGCTAAAGTTGCTATAGTAGCATTATCAGAGTTACACAACAGAAAATTACATTTTAAAAAAACACTTAAATATCAATAATTTCAATCCTAACGATTACAACAATAGTAGCACAGAAGATAGTAATGAAGATGATGATTATAATGAAGAATTGAAAGTGATAGTTTTGCAGATGAGGACAACTATAATGTTGTACAAATAAACCAAAATAGAGATAATGTAGCAAGAGCGTAGTACATACGACAGTTTTTTTTATGTAATAATGTAATATGTATATTATAGGTAGATTACATATCATATTATTATTAGCTAAAACTTTTTTTATTTTTATTCTTGTAACTCTTGTTTCTTGTTGCGTAATATAAGTAGACGACGAGAAATTAAAAATGTAATCTGATACCTATATTTAATCAGAACAGTTTAAATCTTGAATCTGCTTCAAGTTCTCCAACTGTTATGTTTTTAATTCATAATACTTAAATTTTGCTTCGTTTATGAAGAGCGCTGGCGATGTTCTAAAGTTTGTTGTTGTTTGTGATGTATTGAAATTTTTTTCTAATTCAAACTTTTCTTTTTGTATTTTTAATAAATTTGCTTCGTATTCAGTCATTTGTATATCTAAATTATTTCCGCATGCGCAGTCATTTGTATATCTAAATTATTTCCGTTAAATCCTAGATTTTTTTACCTAATACAAACACACATTCTAATATTAAGATATGTTACTACTTACTAAGAACCGTTCCAAAATATGATTTCAGTACTTATACGTTTACTTACGTTTACATCATATCAACTTCATCTGGTGAATCTATTTCTTGACTACTCAGCTGAGAATTACTCATGACAGTTCGCATCTAATAATGTAAAGTTGCATTATATGTATAAGCTTACAACAATACATATTTCAATTAACATGATATATTTAACAAGTAAAATACTTACCACAACTTTGGGTTTGTCAAATATATTAAGTTCTCTTAATAAAGCCTTTCTGGTTTCATGTGGTATTTTACACAACTTACTGTTGGTCAAATGTTTAGTCATTTTTGTTGTGTTTTTGTGGGTATACAACTGTCCGCAATATTTACAGTGGTAATTAATTTTATTTAAACAATCGCTATAATCAAAATACTTCCTTATAATATTGAACGACATATTTATTTTTTTTCTATAAAGCCAAGCTACTATTTTTAATTTAAAGGAATGGATTAAATAAAAATGTAACCATGAAGAATGTACTGTTATACGAAAGAATAAACTCACGTCTCACAATATTGAAATAATTTGTTATCGTTATTAGAACTATGTGTTTATGTCCATAGACATATTTTTACCATAGAGTATAATTATTTTTACTTATATTTTAATAATAAATATATAAATAGACGGATTAGTGTAGTTGTTGTTGTGGCGATGAGTGGTCATGATTATTGCCGATGCAGTGATGCCAACAGGTGACAGAAAATAACGTATTAATAATCAGGATAATTAATGATGTTATTTTATCATGCTAATAATATTATACTATTTTACTACTTCGACGATTCGACAATTTTTTTAATTTCCGGGAATTCCCGTTCCTGGCGTTGTCGGGAATTCCTGGGAACGGGAATATTTCTTCCCGGGATCATAAAAAAAAATAATAATCATAGTTAAAAAAAAATAACAAAGTCAATAATATTATCAAAAACTATTTAGAGAGAAGGTTACCGAAATAAGAATCAGTAGTCACAGGATAAATCACTACTTTTTTTTTTAACAACAACATTAAAGTAAAATATTTAAAATGTCTATAAATAGCTCAGAATAAAAGACAAAAAACTCATAATTACAATTATTATAAAAATTATAAATACTATACATTTTTAGTTGAGCCGTCATTGTCAGAGTCAAAATCGTTTGCACCTTTAATAAAGTCCATTGGCATTAAAGACTGCAATGCCATGCCTAATTTGTTTATTGATTCTGGTTGAGGACCTCCTCCAGTTTGTTTTAAATTTTGTTTGTAGGATGAAACATTTTTTTTGGCAACTATTTAAATTTTTTTCCATTCACCTTTAATTTGTAGTAATGTTCTTTGAGTTTTTGAATTACCATTATATTCTTTATAAGTTTGTGACCACGCTTCTAGTTTTGACTTATTCGTATTTGTGTCACAATTTTTATTTTCAATCACCTTGATAAATGGTGTGACGATTTCAGTTAGTAGGTCTTTCTCTCCACTTTCCCAACTAAGCCTTTTTTGTTTATCCATTTTAAAATAGAATCACGCAATTTCAATTATAATTTTAAATAAATAAATACAACTAATAAACTCAAAAATAGAACATGAAACTAAAAATAAATGCATATAGGTAATCTAAAAATATTTTACCACAATTCAAAAAATATAACGATAACAATGACATGAAAAAAAACACCTGGAAAAACTGTAACGTTCACATTAAAATAATAGAACATAGAATGTATTTTTAAATTTTTTTTTTTTTTTAGATTGGCAATTTTTTAATCTTTGAGTCATTCCAGCTTAAAAGGTGCAAGCGTAGAGTCGACAAGCGCACACTCAACCAAATATACCGGTGTTTTTAATAAAAATGTAGGTTGATTTAACAATATGTTTGTTAATATAGCGTCAATAAAATGTTTATTAATTTAGAAGTACAATATTTGTTGATTTAAATAATAAATTAATAATAGGTATCATTGATTCTACAATATGTTTATTAATGCTTTAGATAAGATTATGAATTAATTGATCGATGGTTTATTTGAATTAACCATAGTTTTGTAAATTTAAACACTTTCATTTGTTTAAAAAACAAAATATTTTGTTAACTCTACAAAATACCTTTATTTCTTATATTGTTTGCCCATACGTCTTATATTTGTTAATTTAACCAATGAATTAATAAAATGTATTGTTCATTCTACAATATATTTTATTAATACCAAATTTTAAAACGACAGGTAATTAGATAATTTTGTAATAATCAGATTATATGTACATCGAATATATCGGTTTACGTCGCTCCGTAGACGCACGGCTTAATTGTTGATGTTTTGACCGTATTCCATATCTCAAATTGTGTCCGAGTAGTTTAGGCGTTAGGTAGGAAACACATGAAAAAAAAAACCGGGACACAAGGCCAGTATAAGAAGGTACCTACAATAAGGAATTAAATACGTTTACTTACTCGAACGGCGTCCAAATGTCAAATGAAATATGTCCGGCGTTCGTCGCCGATCATACATCCTGTCCGCAAAAAATGGATTTCCCATCACTCCATTAAATTAGATGGGACATCGTTCGTATCGACAATTACCCGATAACGCGAAAGCTTCATGTGAGGGAGATCGATAGTGACTACAGGTAGACAAATAGAGACCGTCATGATACAGGCGCCTTAGATATCATCATTATTGGTCATTACACGCCGTTCGACCGAATTATACGTTTTTACGCTGACATAATTTTTCCCTTCAGAAATTATTATGTTAACAATATCATACCTATGAATACACGAATAGACATACTAATTTTTTAACGTATACGGAAGGTATAACCGCGTACGATCCATATTATATTTGTTGACGATGGCTGTAACATTTAAACTATTACTGTGACATTTAAACTAAAGTACCTACCTATCTGCAATACATACCTGATATACCGTTGAAAATTGTACGCGATCGACGACCTCGGAGTACCTACCTGGGCGACTTCGATGAACGTACATCGAATATTACATGAGGCATCCACTTGCTAGACACTCCAACACGATTTTAAACTTGACATTTTGCTCCACAAACAAAAAAGGCACCGGACATGCAACGGAAAACAGCACTGACACAGAAAGTTCAAAAATTTAAACATTCCCGCCAAACCACCAAGCGCTATCACTAATCATTATCAGCCATACATAAACATAGATATTAAAGAATGGATAGGCCATTTGTCGTTATCACATACTCGACTACATCATTAACATTCTACTACGACCACAGTAAGTTGTAGAACTACGACAAAGTCGGATTGTTCATCATTCATATAAGTAGATGGTAGTCGAGTTTCACTTATAGGCTATAGCCGTTTAATGTATGTAATACTTGCCCACCTGATTTTCTGTTGAACAAATAGGTGGACAACTTCAAAGTTAATCGATTTTCACTTCAGAAATCAGGTTACTGACTTGCTAGACACTCCAACACGGTTTTCAGCTTTACATTTTTTACATTTACACATATTTACACATAGTAGCTACGGAAAAGCACCGGGACATATACGTTGGGGAATCGTATCATTGTATTGCTGACTTTCATGGACCATGAGAGATTTCTAGACATTAAAACTCGACTTTTAAACTTTCCCGCCTTCGAAACGCGACCGCCAAAGAGCCCGAGAGTCTTATCACAAATTCCTATCACCAAATCACCTCCGACTACCAACCTATCACCTTCATTATAATTCGACTATGTCTCCAAAATAGGTACTCACTTACAAGTAACACTGGGGGATCAGGCCGGATCAAAAAACCCAGCCCGAGGCGAAACTACAAAGATGTATCACCGCCCACACAGTCTTTCCGCCGTAGGCGGGATGACAAACGCCAGAATCTAGTATTTAATAAAGTTATAAATGTATAATAATATAGTAAATTTCCAGATAGCCAGGGAAAAATTTCTAAGTTTCGTGCAATTCCATCCTAAAAGTATTAAGTAGTATAGTCTATAAAGCATTTTAAAAAGTAAATTTTCATCATAATATATTAATTGTTTGAAAGAAATAAAAACAGAATAAATTTAAAAGTATTTTATTAAGGATATTATATAATCATTAAACATATAATATAAATGTATAGGTAATAGTCCTAACACATGATATAAAAATAAATATATTAACATAATAGTGTACTATTATAATATTAAACAATACCCATAGTATTATAGGTAATTAATACAATTTTAAATCTGTGGGTACCTACTACCTATTATAGAAATATAGGTACATGCAATTACTTAAGTATGTATAAAATGTATAATATTGTAGTTTTGTAATCTAACTGTATACATAATCATTATTTATAATCACTAGCCTGGTAGGTATATAAAAAGTTACAAGTGTACCTAAAATTAACAATAACAATATTAGGTGAGTGTATATGGCTAAATACAGATTATAGATACAAAATAGTTACACAATAAATACATCAATGATAATTATAGCAAACACACAAAAAGTTATATTTATGAAAAGGGGTAGGTACCAACTACCTAGGTAGTAACTAATATTGTAGTATTAGATTATGATTAATTATTATAAATTGGTGTCTAGTTTGATAAATTGAATAGGTAGGTAGACAATATTAAATAATACGTATAATATTCACAACAGGATTAAAAATAATAAAGTTCCTAATCACGGTCGAAAACATAATATACCATATTATATACTTAAGTACCTCATATTATATTCTACGCCCCAACCTATTTTATCATATTATTATTATTTTGATTTTAATTCATTGGTAATTTGTTTTGATAATACGTTTGATTTTTCATACTTAATAATTTGTATGTTGTAAAAAAAAGTTTGTATGAACAGCCATACGTCACCCGATTCTAGAGGATACTCCACGTTGAAGACATGGAATATCTTGAAGCATACATCAAACGCCTTATAGGCAGAAAATATTTTGTATTTAATATTGTCAAAGTACACTAGTATTTCTTTAGGATCAAATAATGATCCTACAACTAACACGCATGGCTGTATTGGACCTTTATCAGCCATCTTTTTCAAAGTCAACTCCATCTCCTCCGCTGTTGGAGTTAAAACAAGGAATGCATTTTGTGAGTCCCTTATACTGTATTTTATGAATCCTCTTTTGCCATACTGTCTATCAGTGCCGGCTCTAGGTTTTGCGGGGCCCGGGGCAAGTAAAAAATGTGGGGCCCTCATTCGTATCTTATACATTACATCCCCATTCCAAATTAATTATAGATTTAATTCAAAAGATAATTTTGTCCATCGATTTTCAAACCAACAATTATTTTACATTCAGTAGGTATGTAAAGAAAATCAAAACAATCAATGACAAATGTATACCTAATCATATTATTATTTGCATAGAAAATAAACTAATAAGTAAGGTTAAAATACTAGTAGATAAGTAATAACTTATATTTATAAACGAAGTTTAAAAAAAATGAGTGTGCTGAACAATTAACAATATATTTTTTTTTTTTCTTTATATTTTAAATACATAATAAATTGTTAAAGTAAAATGTTGTCAGTTATAATTCTTTCATTTTTCTAGCTTTTTTAGATGCAAAATCATTTATTATATCTTCATAATTTAGTTGTTCTGAAAGTTATTTTTCTATACAAATTGTAGCAAGTCCAGTAAGTCTTTGTTGTGACATGGTACTTCGTAAATAAGTTTTTACAAGTTTTAATTTTGAGAATGTTCTCTCTGCTCCAACTGATGTAAGCGGAATTGTTAACGTAATTCGTAAGGCAATATTCAAGTTGGGAAATGCATTCGTTTTTTTCATTTCAGAAAGTACTTGAAGTGGTGTAGTATTTTTATCAATTAAATGGCGGAAAATTAATATTTCTTAGATTATGCGATATTGGCTTTTCACTTTTTTCATTTTAAGATGGTAAAAAAATAACTACATTTTCATTAAAAACATTTTCTACGACGGCCTGTGGTTTAGATTGGTCTTGTTTATTTAATATTAGTTCATTATTAGAATTAGAAGTACTATACTAGACTGTGGTAATTGAAGAAATCGTGACATTGACCCTCGTTGTTTTTTTATAAATTCTTCTTTTAGTATTCTTTTAGTAACTATTAGTATATTTTATATATTATACATGTACATATTATAGGCTACATCAAATGCGATAAGCCAATAACGACGATGCAATTACCGTCGAGCATTTTAGTTTTAACAATCATTATAAACAACAAAAATAATTCGGTAGAATGTAGAAATCAACTTAAATTTAATGTGATACATGGGTATTTTGGGTAATATATTTTTTGTTGTTAGTATAATAGTATATGTTGGGTATACCAAGACTCATGATCAAAAATTAACTTAGTGTATGTTTTTTTGGTTTCATTCAGTTGCAGGGAGCACTATAAATATCGGGGCCCCGGCGGGGCCCCAAAATCGCGGGGCCCGGGGCACGTGCCCCGCTCGCCCCGACGATTGCTCCGGCACTGCTGTCTATTGTAGATTTGGCTAAAGTGCACTTTACCACCCCATGCATATTTTTCGATTTTTTTTTTTTGGAACTTATGTAACTCATCGAGTTAAGAACGATGGTGCAATCGGAATTTGTCGCTCTCACTTAGTTTCGAAGTTATGGCCCTTGGAAGTAAGCAATTTTGCGTTTTTTTACGCATGAGCGCAACGCTACGTGTCACGTCTTTCGCGATTTTTTTTTTCTTATTCGTGAGACTTATTAATTAGTAGAATGAAATTATTAATGAGTACCTATTACTTATTTTTAAGCCTAGGTTGTGGTTGTTACTTATGGCACAATCATTTAATTTTGGACTTTCAAATATTAGAACACATAATTACTTTTAATAATAAAATTAGTTTATTAATAGGTATTAATTATATAATATAATATCTAAATATATGTATCGTTGTCACTTAATTCATCTTCATTATCGTCATTACCCTCATTATCATCATTATCAACGTATGCGGCCGTAATTGGATTGTAAAGACTACCTGCAATTCTTAAAAACTCGGTGAATGTATCGATATTTAAAGCCTTACATTGTTTTAAAAACATGAACTTAGAAAGATATCCAGCTATAAAGGTTTTTTTTTATGATATTGGGGAAGTGAATATTTCGCATGTCGCCATAGTCCTTCGATCGTGTTTGTGTGCTGATTGGTATCTGGATCTTTAAAGTTAATGCTGTGGTTAACTTTAAAGTGCTTATAACCTTCATCATTCAAACAATCATATGTCTAAAAATAGTACCTAATTAAATCATTAATATTCATAATTATTTTTAAAATACATACTTTCCAGCAATCAGAAATTATTGTAGTATTTGGTAGAATCCAATCTTTAATAATTTGAAGTAACGTTTCCTTTTCCTTTTTTTCAACGGTAACTAAAAAACATCGATTAGTACCACCCCGTTCAATACCACCAAATACCCACTGGCCTTCCACATGATGACCTCTGTGGTATTTGCGCTTGCCAAATTTACTTTCGTCAATTTCAACTTCAACGGACTCACCTCCGATTTTAGTTTTTTTTTTAAAATCATGTGATCAAAAGTAACCTCACGACAAAAATTGGCCCAATCAACCATTGTATGTTTACTTATGCTTAGTTCTTCCATAATGAACGTCTGGTTGGTTTGTTTCATCCATAGATAAGTTAACAAAATAATTTTGGTAATTGACATGTGAGAATTTGAGAAAAATGTGTTTTTCCTTATTGAAACCTCGTATTCACATCTACTTGATTTTTTATGCCGATCCATGTATTTTTCACGGCATCTAGAAATAGAGTATATTTGATATATATATATATATATATATATATATACCTAATTACTATAGAATTTGTTCCTATGGTGAATAGTATCATTCAATATGTGTATATCTAATTTACCTCCAAGAATATGCATCTTTAACATGACTTCGTGCTATTAGTTTTAATTTATGCCCTCTAGGACATAAATAGTCCCCTTCTTTAGGAATATGGAGCCAATTCTGGAACTTCTCGACAATTATAGAATTGAGAGGATCACTTAACTCACAGTTAAAAATTTTGAAAATTTTAATTAAATTATATGCTTCCATAATAAATAAAAAGTGAACAAACACGGGACTAAGAGAGGTTAACTTCACTAGAACGCAGCACTTGACGTAATGACATTTTAATTGTGTATTAAAATATAGTTTCTTTAATAATATAATGTAATCTAAAATCATATTTATAATTGAATTATTATTATAATTAATTATTATCAGGTAGTACCTACCTACTATTGGTATAATGTGAACATTTATTTAAACCATTTATTTCTACTTCCAGGAGAGGAATATTTTTAACCGGTGACTCGGTACAACAAAAATGCAATTTTCTTAACCATGTGACCCACTTGGAGAGGTGTTGAATAGCAAATCGGGGGATATTTTCGTTTTTGATTGTCCGAGCGAGCGCAGCGAGCGAGTTACCCCGCTCGATGACTCGGTGCAACAAAAATGCAATTTTTTTAACCCTGTGACCCACTTGGGTAGGTGTTTCATAGCAAATCGGGGGATAAATTATTATTGTACCATCGTTTTAAACAGGTGAGAATACAAAAAAATAACAAAAATAGTCCTCCTCGCGGCATTATAGTAGTGTTGCGCGCATGCGTATAAACGTAAAATTGAAAACTTTGGAAGTCCATAACTTCGAAACTGAGTGAGAGCGACTAATTCTGATTGCACCATCGTTCTTAACTCGATGAGCTACATAAGTTCAAAAAAAAACAATCGAAAAATTTACATGGGGTGGTAAAGTGCACTTGTTCCGTAGATTTTTTTGAGGTGGGAATATACAATGTAATAAATACATTATTATCAGCGTTTTTGAATCTGGAAACAAAATTAATTTTATTTTGATTATTCTGCATAAGTATAAGATTTAAATACATGAGCAGGAAGTATAGAAAAATTGCATAGGTACCTACTGAATAACTCTGTAATGTTATTTTTATACCATTCATGTTTTGGATAACACTTTAAAAAAACATTTTATTGATGTCCCAATCAATTTTAACTATAATATTATGACTTTATGAGTTAGTAATACAATGAATTAATTTGTAGTACCAATTCATGTTTAATAAAATGAAAGAAAAATAAATGAAGTCGATTCCGGGCGTTGTGGAAGCCGCAATTAATCAGCACTTCAATAATATTAAAATATAAGTAGTTTGAATGCACGGATTAGATAGACATTTTTCATGAGTATTGCAGTACATTTAGCTATAAGAGTTTTAGTAGGACCTTGGTGTGTCGATTGTTTATGACAATGTCGTTACATACATAATAATGTAAGTAATAAGAAGTAAACATGAATAATACATTTCAATTTCTTAAAACATACATGTTATGTAATATTATATTATATATACTAATATATTGTATTACCAAGTTTAATTACTTCAATTCATACCTTATACCTTTACTAACCTTTACATTGGGTTACACATATTAATTTTTTTCAATATTTCAAACAAATTTCAAAACAAGAAAACTACATATACATGTGACATAATATATATATATATATATATATGCTTCCTCAAATGGTGTAACTATCTTTAGAATATTGTATTATTTGTCATCATTGATATGTGGTTGGCATGCAAAAATGTATTATAGATATCATTTATATACTACTTTATATAATTTTTATTTATTATTATAATTTTAATTGTATTGAGTTTAATGTGTTATATTAAAATAAATATAATAACATTAATTGATACCTACCCATGTTTAATTAGTAACTACATTTGAAAAGTTTCATTTTTAGATTCTGAGTGAAACGCGGAATGTATTGATTTTACAATGATGTGTGTTTTTTTTTTGTTTTTTTTTTTAAATTTTTAATTTTTTTTGTGTCTGTGTACACTATAAGTAGTCGAAATAATGCTTCGATTTTCGACTTCAGTATCTTGTTCGATTGGAGAGTGAATATCGTTGGTGCATTGGGGAGGTCAAAATTTAAAATTTACAGTACTTTTCAAAAGCGCCAAGAAAAACAAAAGAAAAATTAAGGAAAAACGGGAATTTTTACGCAAAATCGATTTTTCAGAAAATTGAATTTGGTTTTTGGTGTAACTTTAAAACAAATGACCGTAGATACATGGAATTTTCACTGATTGTTTATATTTGCATTTTCTATACACGATAACATTTTCAAAATAT